GTTGACAGCTTGGATGTGCTCTTGTTTGCTTTCTGATTAGATAAAATAAAAATATGTGCAGATAGGCCTGTTTTTAAGCACTGTGAACATATGCCAAGGCTCTTCCTCTTGGTGTCTGCTTTTCCAAAAGCCTCTTTTAGAATGTAAGACCTGTTTTTCTCAATCAGTTTTTCTTTTGTATCAGACTGAAATTTTAATGTATCTGAATAAATTGTGCATTCCCTCGTGTTTTGGAGTACTGTGAATTTTATATTTTAAAGATGTGCTTCCCAAGGCCACCTTTTTTAGCAGTGCAGTTTTTTCCTTTCCCTCACCTCACCTTGCAGGTTCCATGGATTATATCCCTTTCTCTGTGGCTAAATCCTTTTCCTTGTAGGGGTAATTCTTGTTTCTGGCTCTGCTCTCCTGCAGCTTGGATGTCTTCTGGTGTTTTCACAGAACTTCCAATTTATCTCTCAAAACTTCATATATAGCCATAGCACTTCATTTGTGCTTTCCTGTTTCCTTTGATGTTTTGGGGGCTCCCAAGTTGTGTTGGGGTTGTTTCACTGTTACTTGATGTTAGCCCAAGAAATCTGTCACTCACAGTAATAGGGCTGATCCCTTCATTGAATACCAAACAGTGTGTGTTGCTGTATTTTTATTTCTGATACAGTAAGTTCAGAAATGCTTAACATACATTTACAGGATTTTAATAGAAGAGGGGAAATCTGGTTTGTGAAGATGAGCAGTTTTATTTTCAATTACATGATGATGTTCCAATTGTTGCAGTTGAATAGGCAGTGGCATTTCAATGTTTGAATTATGCCCTGAATCCAGCCTGCAAGTGGCTGTCTGCACCATTCTTTATCCTTATTAGTAAGGAGGGGATTTTGCTGCTTTTTTAAGGAAGTACTCTGAAATTTCCACCAGCAGAACTGTTCAGATAAATGTGTGTTAAGTTTAGGTTTTTCAGAATGGTCATTAAAGGATTCACTTACAGTTAAATACTGTTTGCTATTTAAAGAGAGACCAATATTCTTTTGCAAGAGCGAGATGAGCACAGTCTGTCTGCTTCGTGCTGTGTCTACAGCATCCTCATGCGCTATCAAAGACTTAGGAAATTACAAGGACATTAGCTGAAAATACCAAATGTTAGGAAAGTGCTAACTTCTGTTATGAGCATCTGACTTGATTATCAGTTCTGTGTAAACCTTGTTACATCAAATCAAGAGAGTTCAGTACCTCTTTGCAGTGGTCCAACATTTGCTGTGCTTGAGATGGGATCTCAGGCTTTGTTCTCACTGTCAGTGAGAAGGTGGTTTGAGGCATTGCAGCAGTAGCAGCAGTTCAGTCTCAGATTGCTCAGGTGTCCAGGAGGAATTGTCTCATCTCTCCAGTATTCACCAAACAGCTGCTTGGGATGTTCAAAAGCCCAGGAGAGAAAAAAATAGCTGTTTGGCAATTGCATTTTGCCAGGCTATCATTCCCTGCATCCTCCAAGGGACAGTGGATGGATGGAAGGTCTGAAGTCTGCTACTTGAACCGTGCTTGTCTTTAGTTTGGTATCCTGGCCATAGCTGTCCTTATTTTGTGCTTCAAACCAACATTTAGTAGTCAAGAATCAACAAGATAAACAAACACAAAAGGATGTAACTATTTGCTAGTAACTTTTCACTGATGCTACTTTCTGTTGACTTTCTAAATGTGCTCTTGTAGTATTGCTACGAGGTATGGGCAGATTAGTGAGAGAGCAAAGCAGAGTCCTTAGGAGCTCAGCAGGACACTTCTGGATGTTGCTGTTTTTCATATATTCTTGGATTTAGTGTCTGCTTAGCTTCTAAGTCTTCTCTCTGTAATATTGCACAGATTTAATGATTAATTTCAACCTCATCCCTTTTCGTACCTAGAGTTGTACAACTATCCTAATTAAACATGCAGATGGTAAAATTGCAGGCTAGGAAGAGGTGTCTGGGCTTGGATGATAGCAATTAAATGATTTGTATTTGCAGGTGTCAATATTTATCTTCTGCCTTGCATCTGTCCTAGTTTATCATCTATGGGTGAGCCTGTAGTTCATTCATTTTAGTTAGCATTCCAGCTTCTTTTCTCTGGACACAGTGTTCTTGGCAGAGGAGAACACTGCTTTCCATAAGAATGTGTAGTAAAACCATATTCTAACTCTTACGGATACTGTTAGTTCTTCTGTGTTCACCTAAGGATTTTTTTTTTTGCTTAAGTTTCAGAAATGCAAGGTTCCAAGGCGCTTAAAATAAATGAGTTAGTGTCTCCTCCTGCCCCCAATTGTTCTCAAACAGGGAGCTCTTGCTAAAATTATTTAGGGTGATGCCCCTGACAAAAATACGGATGAACCAAGTCCCAGTTTCCACTGAGCTTCAGTATGTTAAACAGACACAATTCCTTTTTCTTCTCTGCAGTTCTCCTTGGCTCTTGCAGGATCAGAAGCAGCAGTAGCACTTTGGCTGTTCCCAGTTGAGTCATTTGGAATGCAAATCACTTTGCAGTGATGCCAGAGGTTCCCTTTGTGCTGGGCTTTATATAAAATGCATGACAGATTGTCAGCTTTGTCACCCTCCCTGGGCAGCAGGGAATAGGTAGAGGCTTCAGCTTTTGATTCAGACAGAACGAGATTAGTGTTGGAAGATCTTAATCAGCTTTGCTTTGCAGATAAATGTAAATCATGTCAGAATGCTACATTGAGTGCTTCTGACTAGTATTTTGATGCTAACATAATTCCTTGGTGCAAATAAACACCTACTGGGGAAGCACAGCAGAACAAGTGCTCAGGGGAACAGAGTCCAGTTGTGCCCCTCCTCTTTCCTCACTCTTCAAACGAGATGTGGACCTTAGGGAAAATCCCAAGCAGTATAAATTACCTGCTCTTGATTGATCTTGCACCATCTGAGCTGCCAGGGCTTGGGGTTGCAGGAGGACATGCTGCCTCTACACAGAGAATCTTGCAAGAAAGGTGGCTCTTGTCCTGTAATTAAGTGTTTCAAGTCTGGGCAAGGACTCTCTTTCCAGCTGGACAAGTAGGAATCCAAGCTGATTTCCTCTGAAATAATGCAAGTGGTGGATTTCTACTCTGTTTCTGAGCTTTGCTGCCTATTAAATATTTTGGTCAGTTTGAAACCAAACACTACATCTCAAACTGAAGTATCTCTGGAGAACTCAGATGCAGTGGATGTTGTGTGAGTGTGTGATGCAGTAGTGATTAGATAAGTTGCATCTACAAATTGTGTTGGGTTTTGGTTGCTATTCCAAGCCTATGAGTTCCTGTGACATTTGTTTCAAAAATACTCATTCAGGAAGAAACACATTCTTTTCCTATTTACAGCCATGTTAGCAGGACAAGGCATGAATTCTTGACTGTCTTTACAATTTCAATTTTGTGGAAAGTTATTTTGAGGCTGTGGAGTATTTTTTTTAATTACTGTGCAGATTTTAATTTCTCTGATTCTTCTGAGTAGTTCTGTCAGCACAATCCATGACACCAATGTGAGGGAACTGGCTCTGAAAACTGAGGAATGTGTCTGTGAAAGTTATTCTTTGGCATTGTGAATGGAAAGAGTAATGAGAGAACATTTAAGAATGTTACACAACTCTATTAAAGCTCCCATTTTGGAAAATTATGTAGCTGTTGAAGTCTGTCACCCTGACTTTTTGTGCCTCGGGTTTCAAAGATGCTGCTCTTTTGGGTCTTCACATTATTTTGTGAACTTATTAAAAATTGCATGTTGATTAAAAGACCTTGAACAAATCTCTTGTGTTAAAATAGGACCTGCTCTCTTCACTGTCACGCTGGATTCTCTGTCACTTAAATCCACTCTAAATCCAGAACCTTGGTGCCGAAGTCACTTGCATTATACAGTTCCTCTCTGAGGAAATGTGGCTTGGAGTGAGCAGATGGAGCAAACAGATGAGCAGACTTTGCCAGCATTTTGAAAATAGGTCTTGAAAAGATTTCTAGGATAGGAAGCAAATGGATCTGGATTAATAAGGATGGCACTTAAGTTGTTGGGTTTTTTTCTTTTTGTCTTTGGTTTTCTTATAAACTTTGCTTTCTTTGAGCTTTGATCAGAATTGCATTGAGTTCAATATCCTCTTTATTATTGGGTGTCTGGTTTTAAAATGTTAGTGCTCGCTCTGCTCTGCAGGGGATTTTGTTCTTTTTCAACAAGTCTTGTGGTTTGGTTCTTGTATTATCCTTGTACCAAAACCTTTTCCTTTGGGCCACAAGGTAGGCTAGAAGCAAGACATGAAAACCAGATGGGCTACACATCCAAAATGGAGCTGATGAAGCTGACAGCCTCTTTGTGATCTTACCAAGTGTGTCTTTGTATGGATAATAAAATCAGCACTCAGACTTCTGCCAAGTTTTTTTTCATTTCTCTTCTACTTTGCAGCCAGACTTGGATACGTTGCTTTCGCTTCTGTCTGAAGTGGTATAAATAGAAGTTTGGCTTTGTTACTTCTGTGCTGGAATTGTGATTTACGGGACCTTCACTATCTTGGTAGCACATGAAAGCCACATAACCACACAGGGGAACTTGCAGAACTCTCCAGAGCTACTTGTATGCAGCACTATCTATACTAAGACCACTCTAGCAGTGTCACTGAACTCATCCTCTAAACATTTTTCTGTGGGTTGCCTATTTAGGTATTTACAGCTTCAAATCTGGAACAAATGTACTTTTGAAAGCCAGTTCAGCCTGCACAGAGTAATTATCATGTGGGAAGTACTGTGTAACCCCCAGCAGAGATGTGTTACTATGTGCTGGTGGAGCTGCAGACAGTCTGTGTGTTAATGCCCTAATTTGAAAATCTGGGTTTGAAGGACAAGCCATGAGTTGAGTGCCCAGTAGCATGTTCCATGTGCTAGAGATGACTTAGATGAAAATCTCTTCAAGTTGTCAAATGGCTTTGCATTTGGAAAATCTTGTGAGCACCATGCCATTGTAATTTTAAATGTAAATTAAATCTTTTTCTCTTTTTTGCAGGAACTGGAGACATTGTTGCTGTCATGATTACAGAATCAAAGGTTAAGGAGATCCTGAATTACTTGGAAAAGAATATCTCTGTCCTGATGGCCATAGCAGTGGGGTCCCGTGTTCCTCCAAAGAACTTCAGTCGGGGCTCTCTAGTCTTTGTGTCAATATCATTCATTGTTTTGATGATAATTTCTTCAGCATGGCTAATATTTTACTTCATCCAGAAGATCAGGTATACAAGTGCACGTGACAGAAATCAGGTAAGGGGACTTCTTTTTTGTTTTTCCCCTCTTAAGTTCTGGAGATGGTATTTCTGTATACAACAGTCAGTAGAGAACAAATTATTTCTAAGGAATATCCGTCAAACTAGTGTCCAGAGCCTCCTTGCTACAAGGCAGAGCATGTTGATGTATAAGGTTTTTTGTATACTAAGTGTTTTCATCCTGAGCATCCAGTACAAGATCTTATTACGTGACAGGAAAGAATAGAATTGAAGCAAAATAGTTGAGTTTTGATGAGCCTAAGATATTCTATATTGGATGAATAATAAATGCTGTATGTGGGTTGGGAATGGGGAGGCAAGTTTAAATTGTGAATGAGGTTGTGTAGTGTCAGGGGACACAGAACAAATGTTACAAATTCTATCCATGCTCTTCAGGATAGCTTCTGTAATAGGAAAGGTAGTTCTGAAGGTATTTCCAAACTATAATTTGTCATGAATGTTAGGGTAAGAAAACTAAGAGCTGCTTAGTGATGTGTTAACTTTCAACCTTATTCAGGATCACACTTGGTACAGCCTGCCTGATTCTTCTGGTCAAATATTTTAAAGTACAATTTTGTCCAATATGTCTTTCTTACATTATTTTTAAGCTCTTAATTTGCTTAAGAGCTCAATTAATTGTGACCACACTTGGAGATCTTGGCGATATTAAGTCATCACCTCCAATATGGATTGAACTTGAGAAGTAAATGTTTTAGTAGTGTGGACTTAATGACCCTCTGCCTCCGTAGTGTGGCCTGGCTTTTGTTGAGAAGGGTCAGTACACCTCAGGAAATCTGCTTTGCACTCTTTGCCTTCATATCTCTCTGCCAAGGCCAAGTTAGAAAGCTGCTGACCTCTAGTCACATCAATTTCAGCTAATACACAGGAGCTCACTGCGAGGTAGAGCTCTGGTGTTTTGTCAAACCTAAACCAAATGCAAACTTATAAAGCCTCTGTTGTGACACAGGATTTCCTTTTCAATTTCTATAAATAGTGTCTGATGCTACAGGCCCTCTGGGCGTCCTGTAGGTTTTCCTAAGGATGTCATTCTTAAATGACCACACTGTAACCAGTACTTAGTGTGGTCCCTTGGGGATGGGGAAAGTTTAAATATAGCTGTTCCTCAATGAATGTCTGTGGAATACTGAATTGTGCCTCCTGCATCCCCTACATGGTACTAAGGCTTCTTCCAAATGTCTGTGTTTCAAAACAGTTGCTCCATGGGGAAAGGGCTTTTATGACCTTTTTTCTTTCTTTAGATTTTTACAAAGGTCAGAAGAAACTTGATGAAAATTTTATGTGGTTTAAAAAGCTGGGCTTATTAAACTTTAATAAGAAGGTGGCGACAGCTACAGCTTGTTTTTAAAGAGCTTTGGGAGCTTTCACAGAGAGAAGGCTGTACTGTTAGTGATGAAAGAACTTGTTTTAGGCTATGATCTTGTTTTTAAGTTATGTTGAGGCAAATTTTAAAAAAAAAAAAAAATAGAGCCATCAAAAACAGGCTGTGTTCTGCAGATAGCTCAAGTAGATACTGGTATTTCACATCACTGCTCTTGCATACTTCCTCCAGGAGTATGAAACTCTTGCATGTGGTGGTGGCCTTTACCATTTAGACAGTTCTGGGGTTTAAAAGCAAGCCTGGGCTGTATGCCTATGCCCTGACTTACCAGAATAGCAAAACCTGAGCATTTTCAGTGTTAGCATAAAAAAAGTTTCTTAAATTTAGAAAATGGAAGGGGTGGATCTCTTAAATGGAGGAGAAGGTTATTGTTTGGCAATTTATTTATATAAGAGAACGTATATATTTTGGAAGAGTTTTGCTATTATGCCTCCAATAGGAAACTAATATTTTAAGATTTCTTGTATCGTATATACAATCATATGCAGTACAACTAAATATAAATACCACCCACAATTGCTTAGTTGGTAGTGTCAAGCCTTTAAGTTAAATGCCTTTTCAGCCTTGTTCCTTTCTTAGTAATCACACTTCAGCTTATGCAATGATTATCTGTCCCAGCAGTGTGCCAGTGTGTTCTGTGTCATTAAATGCTCTGGCCAATATGCCTGTTCTAGGGCAAGTAATTTAGATTTGCTTAAATTGACCAATTTCTCAAGTGTTGAACTTCGGATGAGTTTTCTGACTGCAAGAAGTATATAATTTCCTCATTACCCAGCTCTGGTTCTGATGCTGCATTTCCTTCTTGGGTATATGCTTCAATGGTGGGACTGAGTATCTGATTATTTTTTTTCAAATCCATGCTCTAAAATATATAAAATAAAATTCTGTGGAAATCACAAAAAAATGTGCTTATATAATTCTAGAATAACAGTGGTACAGTGGGTTGTGGTGGAGTGTGTTTCTCAAATGAAAGCAGCCTTCTTGGTTTCAGTTTGCATGCGGAGAAAGTGTGTGATTCAGGGGGTTACACCTTATGAAGGATTTGTTTCTCAGTACAGCTGAGAAGGGAGGCACAAAATACACATGTTCGTTTCAAGCTATGTTGGAAGGCTTTGGCAGGTGCAGTTTACATTTTCAGAAGCAGCGTGTCTCTCTCTCAAAGGCAGAGCAACTTAGTGCAAGATGGAGGTGGAGCATGAAATACGTGAGCTTCCCTTTTTCCAGTCAGTGCAAACCAAATCTGATGTCTCAGGCTCCTGAGCTTTGTTCCACTCAGTGCCCTGTCTTTGGGATCCCAAGGACCAGCTGGCAGACAGCCCTTCTTCCTTGGCTGGGAACTGGGCACTGCAGTAGGAATCGGCACCTGAGCTGCAGAAATGGCTCCTTCCATCCAACAGTAGTGGCTGTAAAAACAGCATAAATGACAAAAAATACCTTGGCTTGGCAGTCACAGTGAAGTTCATCTTCAAACCAGTATCCATTTCAGTGTTACTTAAGTCTGTATTGGCTTATTTATATTTCATGACCCATAATTTATTTTTTTTCTATGTGAGATCCTGATGGTTTCAGGTAATAGTGAGAGTGAAACTAGGTTACACTGAGAGGATTCTCACGTCTCAGAATAAGATCAGCCTGCTCACAGGGAAAGAAAACTAATCAAGCTTAAGAGAACAAGGGGTATGTTAGAGCACACTGAATAAAAAGCATTATGAACAGAATATAACAGTAATCATCAGGAGGGCATTTAGCTTCAGCCTTAATTCTGCTGGCTGTGTTTGATTAGTTTTGTCACACAAATGTAGGATCACTTTTGTGGACTTCTGTGTGGTCCGTGAGATTTATGCCCATGCTTATTAAATGCATTTTTGGGCTCAATTGTAAGGGTTCCTTTTTTCCTTCCTAACAAATCTCCAGCTGTGGGCTTTGCTGTGAATGCTTTTTGTCTTCTGTGTTGGCCTACAGCCATGGTGTGTGTTGCAATGTTAGTATTGAGCCCAAATCAGTCATTATAAAGGACAGTAATGAAGCTTTATTATCAGGGTTAATTTGTGTTATTTTCTTTGTCATTTTATTAGCGTCGCCTTGGAGATGCTGCCAAGAAAGCCATTGGTAAATTGACAACCAGGACAGTAAAGAAGGGTGATAAGGTATAATAAAATTTCCACATCATAAACTTGAGCATTATGTTTAGTTTTTGCTGGGGAACCAATCTCAGTTTTCCCTTTCTCCTTCTGATTTATGTGTGACCTTGCCTTGCTTGTTGAAGGTTTACTTTGCCTTGTGGCATGGTGTTGGGTGTCACTTTGAGTATCAGTGTGTGCTGCAAGGCTGGATATTTCAAATAAGTGTTTCTTCTAAACACTACTCACACTTCATCTGGCAACTGTGCCTGACAGTGGTTTTGTGTGCTCACTGGCTGGGGTTTTTTAATGGTAGGAGTACACAGGGCTTGTTTATGTGGAGTTCTGTCAGTTTAGAATCATTGCATATATGAGTTGTGTAAAGTAAAAATAAATTTAGAGAAACAGGTAATAAAGGACAATCTCTTACATAAAGAAATATCCACTAAACCAAGGGGGTGGATGGATAAGCAGGTATTTCATTAAAGATAGTAAATGTTACTCCAAGAGGATTTTTTGCTAGTAGACAAGCTAAAATATTATGGTGTCTTAAGCTCTAAACTTTTTCCACTTTTATGAGCAGGAAAAAGATACTCACTTAATCTTGCTTAATTTTTGCTCTTTGACTTGAAAAAGGCAAGGGAATTCTGGCTATTATTTGATTTTCAATGAATTCTGGCTATTATTTGATTTTCAATAGAAGACTATTTCCTTCAGCCTTTTTTAATGTGATTCCGTTTTATTTTTCCTATCAGCACTATCAGCAATGGGAGAGTGGGAAGTGGTGGAAAACTTTCCTTCCAGAGAGAAGCCAGAAAAAATATATTTCTGTTCTTTCTTTCACTTGAGGTGCAGCCTCACCAGGGTACAGGGGCACGATCACTTCCCTACCTGTGCTGGCCACACTATTCCTAATGCAGGCCAGGATGCTGTTGGCCTTGGCTACCTGGGCCACTGGGCACTGCTGGGTCATGTTCATCTGGCTGTCAACCAGCACCCCCAGGTCCCTGTCTGCTGGGCACTTTCCAGCTACTCTTCCCCAAGTCTGTAGTGTTGCCTGGGGTGGTTGTGACTGAAATGCAGGACCCAGCACTTGGCCTTGTTGAACCTCATCAATCCAGCCTGTTCAGGTCCCTGTGTAGAGCCTTCCAACCCTCAAGCAGATCAATGCTTCCACCCAGTTTGGTGTCCTCTGCAAAGTTACTGAGGGGGTACTGTAGTTCCCTGGATCCTCCTTCCAGCCCTTCTTGTAAATGGGTGTCACATTAGCCAGTCTCGAGTCATCTGGGACCTCCACTGTTGACCAGGATTGTTGATAAAAGATGGAGAGAGGCTTAGTGAGCTCCCCTGCCAGCTCCCTGTGTACTCTAGGGTGGATCCTTTTCCTGAAGAAAAAACAAAACACCACCTGAATAAAATAGAAGTTTTAGCTCCAATGTGAAGTAAAGCCTCTAGGAGAATTGCCACTATATTTGATAGTGATTCTGTCAAATGCTAAAATAATACTCCAATAAGCCTTAGCTTATGTTTCAAATTACCATTTGCCAGCTCCAAATAAGGGGAGAGTTTTGTATGTCTGAAATACTTTTCTTTCTCAAGGAATCTAATAACCCAGTCAGTGATTTTGTATCTTCTCAGTAACAGCCACTTGGCACAATGCAGTTCATGGACTAGTCACAACTACTTTTACCTTTGTCACAGTCTTAATTCTTTACTTGAATTTTCATTCTCTTCATTTTAGGAAACAGACCCAGACTTTGATCACTGTGCTGTCTGCATTGAGAGTTACAAGCAGAACGACGTTGTTCGTGTTTTACCATGCAAGTAAGCTAGTCAAATTGCTTTGTTTGGAAACTATTCTTGTGCTCCATTGCTTCATTTCATGCAATATGTGCATTTGTTATTTACAGACACAATTGTTAGATGTTTCCAGTCCTAATAACAGCCACTTTATTTTAGACTATGATGCCAGAAGTTGTGAAGGTGGTGCTGGCACTGTTATGACACTAGAGATTAAACAGAAGATTACAAGCTTGAAGATGGGCAGTTTGGGCATATAAGCAGTGGAGCTATTAGGCTTGTAAGGGGGAGGGTGGTGTGACGCAGATTTAAGGACTGAGCAGACACAAAAAAACTGAAGTGTAATGGACCAGGTACAGCTGTAGCATCCTGCACAGCAGATGTGCAGTGTTGGCTGTTGGTATCTGAAACCACGTAGGAAACAGAAATGCAGTTGTTCCAACCTTCATACCTCCTCTGACATCAATCAGCCACTGTGCTATCATCTGTCTTTGGTCTCTCCAGGGCTGTGTGTTCTTGGCTTGTGCCTGAAGTACTTGCTGGATATTCTGCACTGGTGCTTAAAATACAGCAACCTCTTCCTCCTTTTAGGCCATTCACCTGATGTTTAGAGGTTTTCTGTTTGTTTCCGTTTGTCTCTTTCACTCTTGAGTTGGTTCAGGATATTTGCTCTTTAAGAGATGCTCTTTAAGTGCTTTTCCACCTGGTGATTGGTTTTGATGAATCAGTACATTTTGGTAGCCTTAAGCATTACCAAGGACATGTTTCTCTTGTATTCTCATATGCAAAGCCTTCTCCTTATCTACAGACACAAAAAAATACATCCAAGTTATTGTTGTAGATTTGCAGCCAAGGTCCAGTAATTTGGCCTGGGCTTGTATATAAATAGTGCTCTGCATGATACTCTAGAAGCAACAAAGTCATGGTGTTGGAGTCGAGCTTCAGTCATGCAGCAGCACATAAGAGCTCATTATTGGTCCTCTAAATCCTCCTGCAGGCTGCTCTGAATAGCTGGAATATTTTTCTTCTAATGCATCATGAATTTCTATCATCATGATAGGCAAACTGTATTCTTTTAATATCTTAATGATTTAAATGTGTGCGTTCTGATTCTGCAGTTGCAAGTTTAATTTACTTTACTTTTCTCTATTTTCTTTACCTCTTGGGCTGTGGGAAAGAATGAACTGGTTTAGATTGTCAGTGTTGTTGTTCAATTGCTATACCCTACAAGTGTTTGTTTGGAAACTCCCAATAAAATATTAGGTAATAGAAGAATTTAGTCTTGGATCTGTAAAGATTTGGGAGCTTTTGGTCATGCAGATGTGTGTGCCTTTCTTTTCTAGAATGCAGTCATTTTTACTGAAAGATATGTTCTCTTGCCTGTAAAAATGTACTCCCAAATGTTAGGTAAATATTCCAGAGATTTGTGTCCTATATTGTAATCTCAAGTAAAGCTTGCACATGTGAATTAAGATCTAGTCTTTGATATGTAGAATACTAATTGGAAATTGGAGGAGGAATTCCTGGGAATTGCGCACCAGTTTTGAAACACTAAGCTGTTTTTTTAAAATTGCCTCTTAAGAAAGCTTCACTTGTGTAGTAGTTCAGGGTAGTACTTTGAGTCTCAAGGATGTGGAAGGGAGGTTCACAAGTCCCATTCCTCTGTGCCTTTCTCTTTGCTGCTGGGCAGAGGTCAGAGGGAAGTCCTTGCCAGCAAAGAGAGAACGAGTCTTCATCTAAAAGGAAAGTGTCTCCTCCCACAGAGGAGAGTGCAAAACTGGGACTAAAAGTCCACTTTCCTAGTTAAACACCTGCCTCTGTTGAACACCATGTTTCTAGTATCAGCAGATGTGATCAGACCATTTAACCAATAAGATGATTATTTTTTAATTACAAAAAAAAAATACTTTTGAAGTTCATTTTCCTCAGATGCCTTTTGTGAGCCACAGTCCTGCAGACAGGAAGCTCCCTGCTCACAGGGATAGTTACAGCTGCTGCAGTAGCTGGATGAAGGTGCACCTGAGTGCCATCTCAGCACAGTCTCCCTCACTGCCGACTCTCATGTAAACATGGTATCAAGGCTCTCATGCCGATCATTTTCTGTCCTGTTTTTTACGAGAATATAAGGTCAGTGAAGGCTCAGATGACAGCCAAAGGCTGTATGACAGCTTTAGTTCTCAATTTCTGCTTCTCTTTTTTATATCTCGCTTCTCATCTGCTGCAGTTCAGCTTTGAGTTGAGTGCAAAACCATCTTGGCTAGATGGAAACACTGAGATGAATGCTTTCCACAGGACACTTTTATATTTGCAGATGAAGGGCCAACTGGTAGATATCAGATTTCACCTCAGGCTTTTTAGTCTTCAGCAACTGGGATGCTTCTCCCCATATCTTGTTTTCAAGTTTTAATCCCTTTCTACTTCCTGATAATTCAGCCTCTCATTTTAGTGCAGCATTTGTAGTTAGTTAAAAAAAAAAACAAAAAACAAACACAAAAAACCCCCCACACACACACAAAAACCCTGCAAGACAGTCTCTAAGTCAGATGAGAAAATAAATTGCAAGAAACCCGTGGAGAAAATGGCTTGACCAAGGGAAGCAAATGAAAGACTAGAAGTTTTTCTTACTGTGCCTGTTGAGGAAACTATAATCATTAGACAGTAGGAATCACTGACATAAAACATCCCTGCTGCTTTCATCGATGTAGAAGTATCATTTCCCTTTGGTACCACAATTGTCTGCAGTTAAGTATGGTGTGTCACTCTGTGCCTCAGCAGAGAGGAGGCTGGTCTGGGCAGGCACACAGAAGTCAAAGTCACCAGCTGAGCAAGCTGCACCTAAAATTCTATAGTGAAATGCTATATTTGTGATGTAAAATTTTATGGCAAGTGAGAAACTGGCCTATGTAAAAATAAAATTAAAAAATATTACAACCAAGGCAGTTGAATTTCTATCATTCATTTTGTGCTTCAGAGAGAGAAATATGTTGAGTACCCATAGCTCTTGGTGCACAGAGGGACAAGGCAGGTGTCTGAGGCTCCCCAGCCTGAGTAAGGAATGGCTGTCTTTTGTGAATATCATTATGCAGGTTAAAAATAAGTATTGTAAGCAGAAGCTTCTAGCAAGAGGCAAACCTCATGGGCAATTTTCTTTATTCAGATAGTTTTACTTTGCCATCACACTGCTGCATCTGGGAGATCAAGGGGCACTGGGTGAAAAGTGATCAGGAGGGGGTAGTGTGAAGGACTATGGAGAGATAAGGGAAGGGGAGAGCAAGGTGACAGGTTAGAGAAACACAGTGACATTGGAAAGGGCAGAAAGATGACCTGGGAAAGAAGGAATTTACAAGGTAGGAAGACAACTAAAAGTAGTGAATATGTTAAAATAAATGCCTTTTGTGTCAAGTTCTTAATGTTTCCTGTACTGGGGAAGAAGAGGGAAAGTGACAAAAGCAACTAAGCTGGATTTACAGCAGTTTTATGTTGTGCTGCTGTAAATATATATATTTTGTTTGTTTGTTAAGAGCAAATTAATATCTTAATTAAAATAATTAATACTTTTCCACTTACTGCAATGCCTTTGCACCACCCCCTTTGTCTCTGCTCCCTGCTTGTAAGGGCAGCCTCTCTTTTCCCCCAGCAGTGCTATGTATTTGTGGAAGGCAGGGAGGCTGCTCTGCCCTGGCAGCTGCTGGGCTGTGCTGGCTGTAACAGGCTGCCTGCTGCAGGGCCAGAAGGAGCTGTGTGCTGTTTGCCAGCCCGGCTGGGAGGTTTGTACCCCAGGGCAAGGGGAGCAGCTGCCTCCAGTAGTAGCCAAAGATGCCACTTTGCACATTGATCAGGTTCCTTTGGTGGGAGGCAGGTGAGAGCAGGGAAGTGTAGTGAGCTCTTGGGAAATGCCCTTTGTAAACTCCTTAAACCCTTCTCCTTGTGTGACATGTAAATTTGGGGGCATTACAGCACCAAGTGAGATCTCCAGCTCACTTTTTCCTCTCTGAAATGCTGCAAAGAAAGCTGTGTTGTGCAGCAGACTTGGCATGATGGTGTTTATTACAAGCTGGAGGGCAGCTGGCTTGGGTATGCTGACAGAGTGGAAAAATACCTGTGGGTCACCTGCTTGGAGTTCTGCCCGCATGGGAGTCTCCTTCAGTGCCACCAGCCTGGCTGCCAGCTGTGCTCCCTCCAGCCCTGAGGCTGGGGAAGCAGCAAGAGCTGTGTCACACTTGACTCCCTGGTGTGTGGCCCCTGGGGGAACACCATCAGCTGCTGTGACCTAGAGCAGCTCGCTAGGAACTCTGCAGATGTATGGTCTTGGAAAACAAGTGACAGAAATATGAAGATGGAGAAGGTTGATGATAGTGAAAAATACAAGGGCTTACTTTGTCAGACTTGAGCTTTTACAGTAATTCATGTGTTTACTATCTTCATTGCTGTGTAACTGCATTTTAACTCTTGCAAGCAGAGAAATCCAGACAGAGCCTGAGCCACGATGATACCAGCAAGCTTTTTAAGGGGTAGATAAACTACGTAAGTAGTAGGCAGAGCCATGCTGATCTAAATCAATAAATAAGCTTTGGGGAACTGTGTTTTAAAAACATATTCATAAACATCTTTGTAGATTTAGGAACTACAAGCAAAGATTTAAGAGGTCACAGAAATAGGTGAGCTGTTTTGGTGCATTTGAACTATATCAAACTGCTAATGACTCTTTAAAATAACTCATAATATTTAGCAGATGCATGTTGGCATCCATATCAGTTGTCTGCTTCACTTGATCTGAGTGCTTCTACAGCACTGATTAGCTGATAATGATACATTAAAGCTGTTTTCATACTTCTGTGGAGACTTGATGTCTGCTGTTTCCCAAAATATTAGATTTTCAAGTTTGTCCTACTCTGAAAAAGAGACTTCAGAATCTTGAAAGGAAACATAAGCAACCGAAAGCTGTAATTTGCCTAACTTAGAAAAATAGCCTCTGTATGTTTCAGAAAATTTCAAACCACATTCTGTCACCCAGGTTTTCAGAACATTCATTCTTGTATTGTTGTGAGTAATAAAGGGAATGTGTTAGGGTCTAATAACAATAGAAATGAGTTTGTATTTTGTGCAATTATTTTGACAGTATGCAACATATATTTATCTCTCTCTCCTGTTTTTCATGATTGCTGTCTTGCTAAAAGACTCAGTCCAACAACGTGGTGAACTGAGATTTTGTGAGTTTCTATTCCTCCAATATCTGGGATATAAATGAGCTCTATTTAAAAAAAAAAAAAAAAAGAGTTCATTTGTTTCCTGGCAATCTTCTGTTGACTATATTGTACCATATTGCAGGTCTATGCATCTTTAGCTAGTACAGGTAGGATATATAGTTGTAGTTGACTGGAACCCAGTTATGTTGATACACATTAGCCTCTACATCAGTCTAGGTAGTTTTAGACAAAACAATTATATACTTTCTTTTTTTTCCATGTTTGCTGACAAATTCATGAGGCCTTTTTCTCTGGGTGCTTTCCAGATATTTAAAAGAGTATTATCTGATAACATGCCTCATTTGGTCTTTGGTTTTACAATCTCAAGGGTTAGGGACCAAAGAAGTCCCAAACCCTATGATGAGCTTACTGAGGCCCAGCGCAGAACAGCAAGTACAACCTAAGAAAGGAGAGGAGGGAGAGTATGACTGTGTGTTTACAACTTCCTGCTGCCCTGGGGTGTGCATGACCTCTCTTACAGACCTTGCTGATGCCTCAGAGTGATGGCAAGAACTCCTTGTCCTGCCCCTTTGCTGGTTTCAGCACAGCTGGCTGAGCAGCCCTTGTGATTGCTGATCTTTGTTGTGATCACCAGTCTGTTGTGTTCAAGTGTGCCTGCTCTTACTGGCTTTTTGCTCTGCAGGCAGTGGAAGATCTGGGTTCTTACCATAAGCAGCTATTCTGACTAGATTATCAGGAGTAATTACTAAAGCTCTTGTGTACAAAGTCTAGTGACACCCATTTCTGCCGTGGGTATGATCAGAAAAGTTATTTGCTTTTTGAAGAGCCAAAAGGACATTTCCTTTAATTCCTTTCATTTAGATGTGTTGTTTGGTCTCTGTGTAGCCCATCCTTGTTGCATTGATTTATAATAATCTAAACACTGTTACATTTATATGACAGATTTTGTGTGCAAGGTAAATGACAATTCACCTTTGTCTATTGCAAAGTTCCCTGTTGTACAAGTAGAAGCTCAGTTTGCCTTGTCATCTTTGAAAGATTCTTTTTTTTATGATCATTATATGATGATGGACATGTTTTCCTTCCTGGTATCAAGAAATACTGATTGTAGAAAAAGCCTTTTTACTTAGATGTGTTAATTATAACAACCCTTTCAAAATCAAACAAAGGTGTGTTTGGGTTGATTCCACTGATTTTTTTTTAATAAAATTGACTGCTGGTGGATATGTGCTCTTCCTACCCAGTTTATGGCCCCTTTCTACATAGAAATTGAGACAAGACTTTACACAAGGTTATGGTGGGGACTTCGTTACCCTTGTTATTCTGCCCATGTACATACTCATATCCACAATAAGAAGGGGAAAAAATTAAAATCTTCCTTTAAAGTGTTTCTTCCTAGATAAACTATTAGTAAAGGGTGGCAATAGCAAGCAAGAGATTTTGATTTTATTATTATTATTATTATTGCAATCAGAATGAAATACTGGCAATTCTAGGGTTTGTTCTTACGGCTTAATTAAAAAGAAACTATCTAAAGCTTTGTTGAAATAGTTCTTTTTGTATAAAATAGAATTGTTTGCAAATTATATATGTGCCTTGTCTGTTCTTTTAGGCATGTTTTCCACAAAGCCTGTGTGGATCCATGGCTTAGTGAGCACTGTACGTGTCCAATGTGTAAACTGAACATTTTGAAGGCACTAGGAATTGTGGTAAGTTGTGAGCTCTTCTTACTCCCATATCTGAGACCCAGAACAGGAGGAACACCTGTAGGGAAGAAAGGGAGAAGGATGTTCTAGCACCCTTACTAAGAAAGTGTTTACATTTTTTTACCAGTGTCTTTGCTGCTGATAAAGTTGATTTTTTTGTTGTTGTTCCTTTTCCTGGTGGGTCATTGAGAATATATTGTTATATTTACATTTCTTACATTTTCATATCTACTGGAAGTCTACTAGGTCCTCTTTCATTTACCCTTTTCCCAAATTCTTTCAATCCTTCCTTGTTAGATTCACTGTGTAAATGTCTTGTTCGTGTTATGGTCTCCTGTAGACACCCTGAAATTTTACACACACAAAGCTGTGCCCTAGCTGAGGCCAGCAAGTTTTCCTCAAGCAGCTCATGGCTTATGGGATCCCTGAGGACTTCTTTGGTTGACCAGTTCACAAAATGATAAAAATAAAGAAACTGGGAGAGGATTTTTCTACCTTTCCCATATGAGGAAGAAATTACAAGGGGGGAGCAATGCTCTTTTCAGAAGAAAGAAATAAGAAGAGCATGTGCACATAGTGTCTAAAGCAGCTTTTGAATCAAGCCAACGAGAATCACCAGGACCCCGTTTTTAGCTCTCTCAGTTGTAAATTTGCACATTTTCTGAGAAATAATTGCAGGTATATTGTGGATGACCTATTTTTGCAATTCATAACATACCTGGATTTTTAGAGGAGGATGCAGTAGAATTTGGTGCATGTCATCGTTGCTCGTGGTAGTAAAATGTGCAGGCTTAGGCTGTGATACAACATATGTGAGTCCCTTTCCTGAATCTTAATTCTCTTTTCTGCTTCTTCCTCCACCTCTTGAAGGTGGACTGAGGAGCAGCTTTGGGTAGAACTTTCCAACGTGTGAGTTTCTCCCCTGTGTGATGCGAGGACACTGAGCAGCAGCGCGTGTGGCTTTACCGGCTGTGTAGGTTTGCTACCTGTGGAACATGCACCCTTGTAATGCGGAAATCCCTTGCTTTTCCAGCCAAACGTGCCATGTACAGATAATGTAGCCTTTGACATGGAAAGGCTGACCAGAGGGCAGCCAGCCAGCAGGCGAGCAGCGCTCGGTGATTTCGCCAATGACAGCGCCCTCAGCCTGGAGCCACTGCGCACCTCGGGCATGTCACAGCTCCCCCAGGACGGGGAGCTGACACCCCGCTCAGGAGAGATCAACATTGCTGTGACAAGTAAGTTGCCTTTGCCTTCCAGTACCCTTCCTTGGTTTTCCTGGTATCTAGCGCTCGCTCTGCACTAGCTCTGTGCCGTGGGGAGAAATATTTCCCCGCAGGGACGAAGGTGACCTCAGTGTCTCTGCAAGAGGCACACACTCCACATTGGAACTGGTACATTTTGGTACAGCAGTGCCAACACTTCCATTATTAATGGTATATCCATTTAGACCTGCATGGAAAAAAACACTGGATGAACTAAAATGACAAGAAAATAACCCTCCTGAATTTGGTAACCAGTACAAGAAACTGGATTGCCAAAACCATTCTTTACCCTTTCAGAATACTTAGATGCCATAACTTACACAAATAATGTTTTAGCTGATTACTATTCCTCCTGACACATTTTTTCCCCTGAGAATGTTACTTCTGGAATTCTGACGTCTGTTACCAGATGGTTTTCTTCCAAAATCTGTGAATTTAAAAAAAAAAAGTATTCAGTGTACCAACAATTGAGTGTTGTCCAAGTGTTTTATGACATCAGAAAACTGTTCCTACACTGCTTGCAAGCTCTTATCCTTAAGAACAGCATGGGAAATTTCCACTCACTGGGTTTTACCTGGAGTTTTTAATGTATAATAGAACTATAATTAATACAATATGTGTGGAGTTGCATCATTTTTCCATATAAAAAGTCTCAATTTGATGCATGAATGGTTATTTTTCTGGCTTAAGTGTAAAAATAGAATCCAGGCAGTACAACAGTCTGATTTTTCTCCTTGTATTTTGCTTATGTGAATCTATGATCTAGATTTTTAACTTAGTGACACTGTTTGCCACAGATGTTAGAGGCAGTGTAACTGATACAGTCCATTAGAGTCTTTCTTTAGATGCTGGAGCAAAGTAAATGTCTCATTAAAGAAGTCTCATCCTGTGGAACACAGCCCATATCCAGAAATTTCCTTTTTTCCTTAAGGAAAAACCCACATACAAAATTCTTTGCAAAGCCAGTAAGTCACTTTGTCATGTAGTGTTCAACATCTGATTCATCTTGTATTCAGCTCTGTTGACCAGAGAGCAAATCTGTTGGTATGCTGCTCCTTCTCACAGGTGGAAAACTTGAGTGTAACTGAACCCTTTCACTACTTGGTTTTACAGAAGGTTGTTTTTTTTACTGTCTGTTGCCAACTGTAGTACTGCTCTTGGACAGATGGGATGCCAGGGTGAAACAAGAAATAATCAGCAACAGTTCATTCTGACAATGTTTATAAAGTAAAGCTTTAGAAAAGGCTGTTGAAATGTTTGGATTTTATGGATGACACATGCATTCTTTGATGCATGAAAGTTAAACCAAAGGCCATATTGCACAAAAGTGTTTGTGTTCTGATCTATTACTAGGTGCCAAATTCATCTTGAGGAGGGAGAACTTTGAATAGTGAACATTCTTTATTAGCCTTCTCTATGCTACTTGTTACTTTTTCAATGTGTCTATATGTATACACTAGTGTTGAAATTATTTTTCCATGTTGTATTCCTGTCTGTTAAAAGGAAGATTCTAGTTGTGTTTTACTGTTGAAGAAGCCATCCTTTTTTTTAAGTAACACTGTAGCATTTATTCAGGAGGGAGGGGGCGAAGACACAAGTGTCAAAGAATATTGGGTATGCTAATGTGAAGAGCTGCATCTCAGCAAATCTAAACCAACCCTAACCATCTTTCTGACTTGGGGGTGGACTGAATTCTCATTATATTTTCCCTCATTCCTGCATTTCACTTTACATTGTTAAGTAATCTCTCTTTATCACTAACCCTTGGGCTCAGCCAGGAAATATTGTTGTGCCATGCTTTTTTTCCACACCTCTCTCCACTTCTTCTTTGCTAGCCTCCTCCAGTCAGTAACTCTGTGGCTAACCTCCTTCTGCTTCACCTCCTGGTGCCAGTCATGGCTTAGAAGCCTCTTGCCTTCCTCCAGTGGTGTTTGAGGGAAATATTGGCATCGCTTTGACATAAGCCTTCTCCCACGAGTGATTTCCTCCCTTTCCTTTGTCAACAGAAGAATGGTTTATTATTGCCAGTTTTGGCCTCCTCAGTGCCCTTACACTCTGCTACATGATCATCAAAGCCACAGCTAGCTTGAATGCTAATGAGTAAGTAAATATTCAGATGTTTCTGTATATTTCTGGTGGGTGTTATGTCATGGACAGCATTTGGAACAAATACCAAGGGAATAGAGAAGCAGGACAGTGTGGTTTTCAAGGAATCAGATGCCTTTTTTTGCTTTTCTCTCTGTTAACACTAGGTTCTAGGGTCTAAGGTCCCTCTTAATTTACACTTAGCTAGACTGTCTGAGGAAATCTCCTTGATAAGTGGAGCCATGGAATGAGGAAAGGAGAGGATATTTATATTCAGTTTTTGATCAATGGTCTAGGTAAACAGCAGATTTCTGCTATTAAATCTCCATGTTCAAAATTTGCCTGACAACCAAAAAATTACTACTATCAGTTATCTTTAGCAGTTCTCATCCCAGTTTCATAGTCAAATTTCATATTCAAAAAGGAAAAAAAATCCTGTACTCCTAGTTGGCAGACCTTCACCTAAGAAAAAGGTATTTAAATAGACAACCAACTTCTTGCTCTTAGGAGAGGGAGAGGTGAAAGCAATGAATATACACTAGTGTTTATTCTCAAGTGAGGAGAGCAGACCAATCTTCTGACCTCTCATTTTAGTGTGCTTAAGAATGGCACCCAAAGGACTGCTAAAAGACAGCCATGCTTTCCTAATTTTTACAGACACCCCCAATGCCTCCGTTCAGAGGGGCTGGGCAAGAAATTACTCTAGCACATGACTTTTTTTTTTTTTGTATAGTTCTGTATGTGAGCAAGTACAATCAGTTCTGTAGATGTATTAACTGGGTACATCTACCTATTTTCATTTAGATGTACATACCATCTGGGCTCATGATACATATTTAACCATACTGTATTGATTTGGGGGATAGAAAGTGTCAGCATTTTAGACCTCAAGCTAATCTTCAAGAGGTGCTATCATAAGTTCTTAGAGGTTTTGGTCATCTGGGACCTTTGCTTACCACTAATTTATAGATCTTCCTTTCCTCCTCTTTTCAAATACTAATTGGAAAAATGACTTAATGAAGGAAAGTTTTAGAACTTCAAATAGCACTGTCAAGTCTCCTGTTTAATTTTTTTTTTTTTCCCATTTATCAAAATCTTGAAATTGCCCCTGCCAGTCAGCACCTTGGCAAGATAGCTGTAGCTGAACAGAGTTAATCTGCACTGAAAAGTAGCTTGGGGAAGCATGGAGCAAGATGAGTTGTGAAACAGGAATGTCTGCTTTTCTGGGCATTTCCACATCATCAGGAAGAAGAGAAAAGATCATGTAGTGTCATCCAGATGTGGGCATTGATAGCAGTTGTATTTCTGCCTTGCTTTGGAGCTCTTCATTTTGTTGTCTTTTGCTCAGTCAGATCTGGGTCTATTTTTATGGCAAGGGCTTCTTCCCACTGGCAGAGTCCAGGCCTCCAGCAGAGTGTTTTCCCAGTGATGTTCCCTCAGCACAAACAAAGGGCTGATGGAAGGGGAGCTCCTTTCCCTAGTGCCAGGAATGAAGAGGCAAACATGTACAAGTGTATACTTTGAGGCAGACTTAAGAAAACTAGCAACTGCAGAACCCAGAGCTGTCAAAAATCACTTAGCCTTTAACCTCAACAGCTTTTTGACTGAATCCTTTGGGATCTAAGCAGCCCCACAAATGCTGCAGGCTCGACTACTCATTTTAGTCAGTTTAAAATGTGTATTAGATGTATTGTTTCTTTGACATTTTGTGTTCCTCTGTGCCAGACAAAGCATTTCCTGTGCTAAACATCATGCCAAAGATATGGCAGCCCCCTTTCACTGCCATTTTCATTAAATGTCATACCAGCATACCTGCTTTTATGCTGTTCTCCATATAAAAAGGATACTGGCATACCAAACAGTAGTTATGGTAGTGTTTCAGGAGGAAGCTGAGGGCTTTTTCTTATCAGGAAACAACAGTAGCAAGAATGAGGCCACATAATATGCTGATGCAAGGAAAAGATGCCAAATATTCTACATTAGAACTCAGCTAAAAACATGTCCTGATCCTTTTTTTTTTTTATGTCCTTCCCACAGCTTAAACATATTTGTTTAGAGCTATAGTTCTGGAGTTGTGTATATACATATCTAACCATGTATATATATATGTCTGTGTGTATGTGTATGCACACACACACACATTTTTAAATAGTTCCTGATAAAAGTAAACATTCTCTAGGTGATAAGAAAACAAGGAACCAGCTGCTTTCTCTTTGTTTCATAATACTCATGCACTGTTACTACTACATGGTTTAGGTAATGATTTAAAAGAACCAAGTGAGCACATTTTGCTTTCCTTTGTAGGGAACAGTCAGAAATTGCTATATAACAGTGTTTTAAAGTCCAAAAAGCACCACTTAAAGTTTTCAGTAGCAGGTGGAGTTTCCTCAAAAGTTTAGAAGTGCTCAGAGCTCTGTGTGTTTTACTAGTCCTGTAGGAATGATGTCAGGAGTACAGACACTTTTTAATACCCCAGCCTTGTATAATTATTTTTCACTCACTAATGTTATTACTACTACTACATTTTTTTCTTTTAGTATTGGGAGTATTAACTTGAATATAAATATTTTGTTCCTTTTTTTTTCTGCCCCACAGAGCAGAATGGTATTGAAGAAACGCTTTCCAGCCGATTGCCTTGGAGAGAGACACCTATTTTTATGCATCATTTATCGATCATGCAGCACAAGCAATTATCTAGTACATTCTATTTTTTCATAAAATTTGCTGATGCCAAAGCTTTGTATTAAGGAAAAAGTGAAGAAATAAAAAAAAACCAAAACAAACCCAAACTTGAATTATGAAATTTTACTCTGTGAGAATTTTATTTTTCGTGGACTTTGTGTGTTAGTACTGAAGTCTTGGCAGCCTTTTGGAAGTTGTATGAGGTGCTTTATTTTCTCTGAATGGTTTCATCTTTGGAGACCTGTATTCTCTCATTTTGGGACATGCAAGCTAACAAGTGGAAATACCAAGCAGTGCTGTTCTGTGATGCCACTCAGCACTGGAATGACTAACTATTATTAGTGATTGCTCAAAACCAGCTTGTTAGGGGAAAAAAGCTGGTCCAGGTATTCCAGTATCTAACAGGATTATCTTGACTCCAGCTGAGAATTAATTTGAAATATGAATGTTTTCTCCATTTCTCATATAACGCTCCTGTGTTGCACTGGGAGAATTGCAGTGTGGGTTTTGGCTTTGGGTCAGGCTTTGCTGAAGGTTTGCAACCCTGTTTTCTCAACATACAAGTCATAAACCTTTCCTGTCTTTTGCTTTCACCCCACCCTTTGATAAAAGTGAAGCTACTTCAAACCTCTTCTTCCTTCCTAATACCAAGGAAAAAGGTAGCATTTTCCCCCACTGCTGTCTGTGAAACCTTTCAGGGGTTAGTTTTGGTTCAAACTGAGATCGTGAGAGGTTGATAATGGTCTTTACTGTAGAAACTCTGCACACATGTCCCTTCTTGCCACAGCTGTTTTACTGGTGAGGAGGCAGAGGGAAAACATCTCTCATCACTGTCCTCACTCAGGCTGTTCCACACAAGTTTACTTGTGCAAGCAGTGGATGAGTAATTTCACAAGTCAGTTAAAACATGCAGATCTAATTCATAGCCAAGTGCTAATGCTTGAACTAATTAGATGGGTAAATGAAGGTAACAAATCAGTAAGGACAATGCAACTGATAGAACTTAAAACCTATTCTGCATTTAGTTGTTTTTGTTGTTCTCGTATCAAGATGTAGAGATTTGAAACTTAATGCTTTCTAATTTAATTAAATTAACAGAAAACCAATTTTATGGGAAGATTTAATAATCTTATATATGGGGAAATGGAGGATTTAATTTAATTTTATTTTTATGTATAGGCACTTTTAGAATTTAGGAACACAGCCAGAATCTACATTAAAATAGTTTCTTAATTCTTATCTGTCCAGCAGGCTTCAGCTGAGAAGGCAGCTTTTATAATAAGAAATGAAGTATGTGGTGTCTTCAGTACATTTTAATAGAATTATTTTTCAGTGTGTCCTTGTAAAATTTTGAAAGGAACGTGCAAACAATCAATAGAGCAGTAACTGCATTTTGAAAGACTGGAAAACCCCATGAAACTTACTCATGAGGAGAAAAAACCTTCAAAATACTGTGTGTAAGGACTGTCTCCCTGTGCAGTGTTTGTCAGCTGAGCCTCCTTACCAAAAATGGAGGAATGTGGTTAGAGAATGATTTAGGGTACAGGCTATGAAACAAAAGGGTGACCTTTTTTGTTTCTTCACCCATCTATCAACAGCAATAGTAAAATTGCTAAGTTTCTGTTTCTCTTCTGCAACAAAAATCCCTCAGTGCTTTTTAATGCTGTCAGGAGGGGTGTGCAGGGCCAGCCTGGGCAGCGTGGTGACCCAGATGCAAGAAGAACCACAAACAGCTCCAGTTCACATTTCTTTTCCAGAACTGCAGCAGCAGCAGTTTAGTGCTACTGGGAACAAAATGGTTGACAGGGCTTCTAGTGCATTTCCCTTCTTAGAGGGCTTAAATAATCAAAAGTTATCTTTTAATATTTTTTTTAAGCCTTTAATAATTTTCTCAACAAAGAGTTAATAAAAATACAGCCAGTTTAATTCCAGGTCAAGCTAGGAATGTAAGTTTATCTTGTTAATGAAATAACTGTATTCAAAAATGGACTCTGCATCATCCCAGAAACTCAGTGTTTTAACTCTGGATGGATGCAAGAAGGAAATTCCTCAGTGTTTTTGTTGCCTGCCATTCTTTTAGATATCCAGAGAGAAAAGGTGAGTAGTGTCACTCTGATAGGCAGAATCACAATAGTGAGAGGAGCTGGGAAGAGCTGGTCCCTCCTTCCAGCTGCTGCAAGGAGGGCAGGGCTGGCAAAAGGGTAGAATAAGGTGTAGTTCATCAGGGAGCAGCAGTGCCTTGCAGAGCACTATGAAATAGTCCTGCTCTGGTGTTCCTAAACAGAGAGGGTGTCTAAAATGGATGGTGTGAGATAGGGAGAGCTCTGACTGGACTGCCACTGTAAGAAGTCCTTGTGCTGGAGGAGCTGTGCAGGAACTGCAGCTTGTGGCAGGAGATGGCCCTGATTAATGACTGAGGACATTAAATATTGCAGATGGAAGGAACACCAGCTGATACTTACTGCTGATGCACCAGCAGTGCTACAGCCATGTTGTGTCTCTTGAATTTTTGGTCTTTATGTTTTGCCCACTCCTGTGATAGGTATAAAGATCAATTCCATCATAGAATGTTTATTTTCAGACTCAATACAAGTTACCTGAGCAGTTCTTTTTAAGTATATAATGAAGAATGGTGGGAGACAGCACTGAAGGGTTTATTTTCATGTATTAGAACTGAGTACTGACTTCCCATTTCTTTCCATACCTCAGGGGTAAATCTTGATCCTTCTCGGTAAGTGCAAAATAGGAAGAACAGCTTCATAAGCTGAATGTGGAACTGTGGATGTTTCTACTTGTCCTTAAAATACATTCGTTCCATAAATTTAGGACTGGACTGATGCCACATTTTTAAACAAACAGTAGCAATTTTCTACATTAGGAGGAGTGGAGCTGGGTCACTGTGCCCTGCTGTTTCTGTAGCAGTAAGTTGTGGGCAGTGGTAGAACCTGATTATTGGAGCATCTGAAGATTGAGTGCTGAAAAGCCCTGAACAGCAGCTGGATTTTCTGTGCTGGGTGGGCTGTGCTGAACAGCAGAGGAGAGAGACGTTGAGGAAAAGAACGAATGATGTTGTCCCAAAAGCCAGGAGATTTGTATCTGTATGGAAATATGTAGCCTTCCTGGCAGTGGGTGGCTTAAATTTCTTTGGCCAAGAAGCAACAAGAAGACGTCACAGTAAAGAATGTTAGAGGTGTTGGATATACAGTGCTCTTCCCCAGATGAATTTAAAATATTTGTTGTCAGATGACCTGTCTGCCTTTTGATTAAATCTCTCCTTTGAACCTGCTAGAGTGGAAGCCTGGGCACACACAGAGGAAATGATGGCCTGGGCTGTCTGCTTCATAATCCCTTGTTTGGTTTTTGTGTAATAAAAACAAAAGCAACACTGAGCTTGTAGAATCCCCTTTGTTTGGTTTCAGCATTGGCTGTTCAGTATGTGACATTTCAGTGGGTGGAGATGAAACATCCACTATCCATGGCTTATTTCAACTGCAAGTGGAGACTCATGTCATCACAAATCAAATGATCCTGAACTGTAACATGTTTCAAAAAGAATCTTGAAATCACTTGTATCTGGTATAATTTCAAAGTATTTTCAGGGTTTTTGTTTGGAGACACACTATGATCAGCTGGAAGTCATAGTTCCAAGTTTGTTCCCTCAAAAACTCAGCTGCTTTTTTTTCTCTTTTCTTTTCATTTGAAGCATTGCCCAATTTTACAAACCTGTAAATTAGGGAGAGAGTCCAGATCTTGAAAGTGGGTGTTCATCATTCCTTACCAACTGCTTCTGCTGAGCATATTCTGACACAGTACCCTTCTTCCACATACATGGGTATATTCTTCTGGCAGAACGAGCAATTCACTCCCATGCAATATAACTACTAATTGCAATTGTTTGGGTTAACTGGAAGATGAAAAATAAATTGATTTGCCTATGAGAACTTCCCCTGGTCTGTGCAAATGATGGAATGAGTGTGTGTGCTGGCTCTTGATGATAGAAGAGAGGTTTGAAGGGGGTGTAGGCCATCAGGTATGTTGCCCAGCTTCAGTTTGCTGCTGTTCTGAGCAAGAGTTTGACCTGGGCACACAGCTGCTGTGCAGCTCAAGCCAGAGTCTGCTGCAGGTGAGGAGGGCAGCTTGCTGTCACAGCTTGCAAAAGGAGTTTGCATGGAGCCTCTCTAGTGTGCCTGGCTCTTTCAGCCAGTGCTGATATGAAGCCTCTGCTTTGACAAGTGCAAAATTCATCTTTGCTTCTGCTTTTTCAACAATTCTATGGATCTTATTATAACTCTGGGTTTCTCTTTTTAAGCCTAGTGAGGACTTCTTTTTTTTTTTCCTTGTCTCCTGGATGAGTGTGGAAGGAGAAAAGGTGTTTTGCACAGTAGTTGCTGAATTCTTCCCTCTTATACTTTTGCAAGCTCTTTTTTTCACAAGGGCGTAGTCTGGACTCAAAATCTGGCAAAGAAAGGAGGATTTAATCACCTAAATTCTGCCAGGGCTAAAACTGCAATCCCCTAAGCGTCTTGCTTCACTGGTGCCTGAAACTGGAGGCACCTTGGTTTGCTAAGTGCCTTCTTGATGAACTTGGAAGCTTTTCAGTTGCTCCAACTTGGCTCGTGTAGCTGCCTGGCACATTGTAATCTAAGCAGCCTTGCTCCCAGCTAATCCCCCCTGGGATCAAGAAACCAAGTAATGAAACGTTTTGGCCAAGGGCCTGATCTGATAGATGCTTTCAGAGAGAACCGTTTGTGCAGGGGTAGGGCTGGGCTCCTTGCACAACACACCTGTGGGTTTGGAGAGCCATGGGAACACTGGGCCACTGAGGAAAAGAGTGAACTTCCATTCCTCACACTAAGCCACTCAGTGCTTGTTTTGGGTATCTCCAACGCTGGAGAAGACTGTTGGTTCTCCTTTGGTTCTGTGCAAGGAAATATGTAGGTGCCTGTTTCTAGAAGGTGGCTCTAGGTGGATGGAGGTTGCTGAGCTCTGGAAGAGGTCAGGCTTCCAGCAGCATCACTCTGAGGATCCTTGGTGACCTTGAGGTGCAGGAGCAGAATTCCTTTCAACCTGGTGCCAAAGCACTTT